ATTCCAGTGCCTGTATGCCCATCCAGCTCCCCACCCCCACCTTATACAGTGCCTGGCACATGGTACTAAGTACTTAGCTGAATGAATGAAGCCCACATTGCTTAGAGCTGATGAAGGTACTTGAATGTCAGATTAAAAGATCCCAGGTAGGGACTTCCCTGACTCCAAGCTTCCAATGCAGGGGATGCAGGTTCGATTCCTGGTTGGGGAACTAAGATCCCACATGCTACCAGGCATGGCCATAAAAACCAAAGATTAAAAAAATAAATAAATGAAGATCCCAGGTACTTTTATAGATGTTCCAGAAAATGTGGCAGCAGCTTCCAGGCCCTCCAGTCTAGTCCTAGCTTGTGACCACCTCTCCGGAGTCAGGGGACTCTTACCCAGCCAGGTACAGCCTTCCCTGAATCCTCACTGTCCCCCAGTTTGGCCATGGCCTCTCTTCCTGAGCGGCCCACCAACTGTCCCACTGTGCCTCTGCAGAAGCTTGAAAGAAGGTGAGGCTGAGCTGTTGCTTTTAAAGAGGCCACACAAGGGGACATGTAGTAAGTAACTACCATCCTCAAACTAACCCTCGTAGACTTACGGACCCGGACACCGGAAGGATACATCAGTCAGTGTTGGCCTCTGAGTCTCTTATGTGTGTGCAGGCAGGTTGCACACCTTTTTTTAGAAATGTATCTTCCAATCCAGACTGACTTTGGCCTAAGGCCGGACTGACTTTTTAAAATTAATTAATTAATTAGACTGCACTGGGTCTTAGTTGAGGTACATGGAATCTTCAGTCTTCATTGCAGCATGCAGGATCTTTAGTTGTGGCATGTGGAACCTTGTTCCCTAACCAAGGATTGAACCCAGGCCCCCTGCCTGGGGAGCACTCTTAGCCACTGGACCACCAACCATGGAAGTCCCAGTCTGACTTTTGAGTCAGGATTCGAACCCAGGCAGCCTGACCAGAGTCCTTGCTCACCACCTAAACCCTATTGCTTTGTCAGAAGAAGCATACTACAGTGCTTAGAAAACATAAATGTATTTCTAGGATCAAATTCCTTAAGCCTGTCCTCATCATTCTTGCCTCTTAAAAAAAGTGTTTTAAAAATAGAAGGAATATTAAGTATTACAGACTGCAGTTTGGGGTTTTAGAACAATCAATGATAATATCTGCTTATCTTAAGAATATGTAAAGACAACCACTAGTAGAACAGAGTCTGTACCCTTCACAGCAGGGGGTGAATGGATCTGTTAATGTTCTTGGTTACAAACAATGGCAAACAACTCTGACCAACTTAAGCAGGAAAGGAATTTATTGAAAGGCTCTTGGGAGCTCATAACAATAGCTCTTGGAAAACCTGGCAGAGCAAAAATAGGCAGAAGCCAAGGCAGGCTGGGCAACTGGAGCCCCAGGGGCAGCCTGGATGGGATGCTGCTATTAGCACTGCTGCCCTGAGGTCGTGGGTCTTAGCATCACTTGCTTCCTACGTGGGACCATCCAGCTGCCTGAGTACAAGTCATGGGTCACAGTGATGTCAGTGATGCTGTGTCCAGAGCGCTTTCAGTTTCTGTATTAATAGTAGGAGCCTGGGCTTGGTCTCCCACCAAGAGTCACACACTGAGGGATTCCCCTCAAATCAGTTGATAATGAAATACTAGGGAGCCCTCCAAGAAGGCAGCTCTTCTCTACAGGGAAGATTTGGGACAAAGAACGCCTGGTGGATCTGTTAGAAGACAAGAATGAGGAAGAAGGAGACACTGAGAAGTGTATGAAATGAGATGGGCTCCCAGACATCAGGACTCATGTGGAAATGCCATCTGTCTACAGAAGAGTGGATGTGAAGTGCTGTATGCTTTATATTTCCTGAGCAGATACTTTTAACAGAAGGAAGGGCGGGCAAATGTAGCTTTGTTTGTTGATAACACCCATCTTGGTGAGTTCCCAAAGAAAATCTTTTTTTCTGAGAAGGAAAGGGTGATCACCCCGGCCTTCAGAAATACTTGTAGAGAGGGTTGTGTGTGATGGACTGTGGTATCTAGGACCCTCAGAAAGGAAGTGAAGAGCAGAGGCAACTGATGGACTGGGAGAAAGAAGAGCAGCTGAGAACCGGGAAGGTTAGACGTGGTTAAACAATAACTATCACTTATAGAGCAACAGAGGGGGAAGGAGGCAATCATGGTCAAGAGCTCCCACTTCCAGAAATTGAAACGCTCCCGGAAGTCCTGGGAGTGAGGAGGTGACCACGGGACCAAAAGGCCGGGGTGGGGAAGAGCGTCCAGAGCTGTAGGAAAGACCAGGAGCGGACGCTAGGGTCTCAGTGGGCTGTCCATGTGGGCTTCAGCATCACCCAGGATCACAGCAGAAGAGTAGGAGACGGGAAGCAGAGCAGGCCCAGCCTCTTGAACAAGGAGGAGGAGGGGTGTGTGTGACTGTAGCCAGGACAGGAGGTGACTCGAGCCCCAGAGGAGCCAGCACTCATTTCCTGGGAGTAGCACTGGGCACTCGGCAATGCTGCCGCGCACCCCACCTGCCCCACCACCCTGACCATGCAGAAGAGCAGAGAAAGCTGCAGAAGACGCTGCATCCCAGAGAGACTGGGATCTTGCTGGCTGGCCTTTCCACCTCCACTCGTTTCTCAAGGGCTGAGCCCAGAGCTGCTGTTTCCACTTTCCATGGTAACCAGTGCTCATGACAAATGGGACCTACCCACTGACGTGCTATGGAGACAGTCGAGAGACATACATCAAATTTACACTAAGAGCCCAGGTCTTCTGATAACTCACCTCCCCTCTGTTCCCCCATCTGCCCAGGGCTTCTCTGCCCATAGTAGTCCCTTCACAAATACTGACCAAAGCCTCAGGAGCACGTCAGCTCTGACCGTCACTTGAGAGGCTCCAGGGAGTCCAGTTAAGTCTGTGGGAACAACGGCAGGCTCCAGCTGAAGTCTGGCGTTGGCCACCACCCCAACCAAGGCCTCCGGGGAGCTCATTTCAGAGACGACATTGGGTCCTCACGGCTCTGTACAGCCTCTTTACACAAGTTCCCGTCTCAAATTTGCCCATCCTATCTTATATATGGTGGTTACCTCTAGAGAGTAAAGCTATAGGTGACTTTTTTTTTCTTTTCCTTTAGGCTTAATCCTTCCTTAAAAAAAAAAAAAAAACTGTAGTAAAATACATACACAATTTACCATCTTAACCACTTAAGTGTATAATTCAATATTATTCAAGTATATTCACATTGGTTTGCAACCAATCTCCAGAACTTTCAAACTGAAACCCTGTTCCCATTAAACAACTATTTCCCCCTCCCCCCATTCCCTAGCAAGGGTGGTTTTTAATTACTTTAAAGTGTTTTCGTTTTTGCTCATTTGTAATTTCCAATTTTCTAAAATGAGTATTGTTTTTACAACTGAATTTCAAAAACCCCAGAACATTTTGTACAATCTCCTCCACTTTGCAGTCAGGGTGCCGGGGGCCTGAGCTGGGGAGAGTCTGCAGGGAGAGCCCCGTAGCACACGGGGGCCCCTACAGCCCTTCGCCAGGGAGGCCAGGATTCCTTCTGCTACAGGACCCCTTCAGGAGGAGAACGGGCCAGGCACTGTAGCAGGACAAGTTCTGGCCACAAACTGGCCATGAGTCCTGGCTGAGCACCCAGCTATCCACGGGGATTCAGGATGGAGCTTCACTTCCGTACTTACCTGCCTCACTTCTCACCTCAGGGCTTTCCTAGGGCTCGGCAGTAAAGAATTTGCCTGCAGTGCAGGAGATGCCGGAGACACCAGTCGATCCCTGGGTCAGGAAGATCCCCTGGAGGAGGGCACGGCAACCCACTCCAGTATCTTGCCTGGAGAATCCCATGGATAGAGGAGCCTGGTGGGCTTCAGTCTATGGGGTCTCAGAGTCAGATATGACTGAGCACGCATGCACCGTCTTCTCACTTCACAGAGCCCCAAGCAGTGCTCACGGGGCACCCCTTGTCTTTGGGTGGCCCATGTCTCTTGTCCCCAGAGATTCTCTGGCCAGTCAGGCCCAACGCTCTGCTCATCTCAGGCCCCCAAGCCAGCATGTGAGCAGGTGAGAATGGAGGCAGGCAGGGGCCTCTGCTCACACACGTGGTCCTCGGTCGGTGCCAAGTCTCACTTTCTCTAGGACAAAGAATGTTCCACAGGTGGCTCTGGAGGAGGTGGGGTGGGGAGCTTGTAGGGGTCAGGGCAGGAGTAAGGGTTGAAGGTAGTGAGGATGTGAAGGGTAATTTCCGCCTTGTTAATCTGAGGGTATCTGTTACCAGCAGTGACTTCTGCATCCACACAGAAAACCAGCTGAAGTGCCAAAGCACGATGCTCCAGAGGGTCAGGGCCTCTTTTGTTTTGCAAATAAGGGGCCCAGGCACGTAAGGAGAGGCAATTTGCTTGATGCCGGGTCTGGGGCGGGGGTGAGGGACAGCAGGGGGAGGAGGGTGTGCGCAGGAGGTAGCAGCACAGCTGAGATTGGAAGCAGGTCCCCTGGATCCCAGGCACACCTACCACCTGGTGACTCCACCAGGTGGAAATCCCAGAGCAGAATAAGTCAAGTGGGGGCCAGGGAGGAGTTGGGTCAGAGGAAGGTCCCAGGTTCCCAGGTGCACCAAGAGTTAGAGGGGGCAGAGTGGACCAGAACCGGAAGCTCAGCAAGAAGTGGAAACGAAAGGAAGGGCCGCCCCAGAAACACTTCAGAAACTGGGGGTGGGTGGGGGAACCCCCAGATGGGAGTCTTGCCATGCCCACTTAACCAGCCATGATGTTCCTACCAGGGCAGGGCTGTACCAGGAGGCCTGGGGGCCTGCAGAGCAAACAGCAACCTTATAATCCTTCCAATACATGGGTGGGGGCAGTAGTCAGGTGCCAGTCAGTTACTAGGCTGAAGTGGGGCAGGTGGACAGAGGATAGCCCGCAGAAGAGGCCGGTGTGGCCCCCCATAGCTGGGTGTGACCTTCTGGCCGCTTGGGGTGAAGCAGCATGAGGCTCTTCTCAGGAGCGGTGCATCCCTTGCTGGCCCCCTGGGCCACCGTTCTCGGCCAGAGGCTGGGCCTGGCTTCCCGGGGAGCCCGTGTCACCCAGGGTGCTGCCCACGGTCACCCTGCTGAGGCTGTAGGAGCTGTGGCGGGCTCTACGGCCGCGGCACTGGGTCCCCGGGCACAGAGCCTCCCGGAAGCTGTCCCGGAAGCGGGTGGACATGAGGCTGTAGAGCACGGGGTTGGCAGCCGAGCTGAGGTAGAAGAAGACTCCGGAGACGACGTGCACGTACTGGAAGGCCAGGAGCAGGCCCTCGGTCCAGCGGGACACGAAGCTCCACATAACGCGGTCGACGTGGAACGGGGCCCAGCAGATCCCGAACACGATGACCAGCACAACTGCGGGCAGAGAGGGGGCCTGTTCTCACCTCCGCGCCTCTCCCACAGGCCATCTACGCCCACGGTCCAGCTGGAAGCTTCTGGAAGTCTGTCTGCCCTGGCTGCACCCCTTTAGGAGAGGCTGCTCTCGCACCACTGCTGCTGACTGGCCAGTGGGCTGTGCCCTGGACCAGCTGTGGACACCTGAGCCAAGCCTAGCCTGGCCCGGTTCTCTCAGCGTGGAACTGGAACTCAGTGTGTGACACAGAGAGTGTGGCTAAGGACCCCTCTGGTGACACTCGGGGGCCATGCCTGCTTATGCATTTGCAGGGAGAAGCAGGAGAATGGGGCCTGTGGTCAGAGGACAGTAGACAGGGAGGTCATGGAAGGAAAGGGACATGAACACCAGCCCCCATACACACACACACACACACACACACACACGCCTGCCTTGGCTCTAGAAGCCTGCGCAGCCCCAGCCCCCAGTTCTCCTGGGCTCAGCTCAGTGTCCCTCCTGCATGCACTCCCCTTTCTTTGACAGCCCCCATCCCACCCCCAGAAAAAAGGCAGGAGAGGCCAGCCAAGCCTTCACTGTTTCTCTGGAGCTTCCCTCCAGCCCTGGTTTTAATCCTGCCCTTCCTTGGATCTCTGCCATCAGATCTGCCTTGATTTCTGTCCCTTGTTTCTTGTGTTTGCTTCTCCAACTCACAATCCTTCCCCTGCAGTGTCTTCCCCCACTTACGGCCCAGTGTGGCCTGCCAATCAAAACATGGCTTACAACATCCCCAGCACTCGGCCTGGTGCATAGTAGGTCCTCAGAAAGTGAAAACAGGAGGCAGAGAAGAAAGCCAGAGCCTCAGGCCAGAAAGTAAGGCAGCCTTAAGGAAACACCCCACTTTTCCAGGGCAAGAGCCACCCCAGAGGCAGAGACTCTGCCCCAGTGGGCAGGGAGGTGGGAGGTAGCAGGGGCAGGTGGTCTCTAGCGCAGGGGATGAGTACAGAACTCCAGGTCGGTCCCACCTTAGGGGGCAGTACAAGTGACCATGGGCTTTGGGACACTGTTCTGGGGGGTGAGAGGAGTGAGTCCCTCTCTGGGAGCAGGGCAGTCCCCAGTTAGCTGGATAAAATCCCTTGGCTTTGACCAAGGTCTCACCAGCCCCATCCTGCCCTGGCCCACCCCACCTACCCTGAGGGACTGGGCGGGGTGGGGGAGGGTATCAAGGACTGGGTTAGCATCAGTCTGCCTGGTTTCCTCAGGACCACTGTTTATGAGAAAGTGCTAGGTCTAGGGCCATCAGATTGTTACACAACTGTCAGATCGATTAATCCCCACAACTTAGGGGAATGGTATTAACTATTTGTTTAGGAGTCTTGTGTTATTGAAGTGTGCAGAAGCTGTTAGGTCCTGAAGGAGGGAATGGTCACCCACTCCTGTACCCTTGCCTGGAGAATCCCATGGACAGAGGAGCCTGAGAGGCTACAGTCCATAGGGTCGCACAGAGTTGGACATGACTGAAGCGACTTAGCATGCATAGGGCCACAGTAAGATCCAGAGGCTCAAGCCAGCTGAGCGTGCCCTAGCCAGCCGCAGCCCCCACTTTTGTCCTGATCACATAGACCCTCACAAACATGCCTCTAATGACCTCTTTTTTCTCTCATTCTTTTTTTTTTGGCCATACCGTGCAGCATGCGGGATCTTAGTTCCCAGACCAGGGATCAAACTTGCACTCCCAACACTGGGAGTGCAGAGTCCTAACCACTGGCCACAAGGAAGTACCACGACCTCTTTTAGATCATGGTTACTCGTGTGACCTGCATAGCATGCAGGAAATTCATCACCTTGCCTTTCCAGCACCCCGCTCCCCTTCTTTTGGGAATTTTGCTCCCCTGGATCCCACCATGTGGATCTGTGGGGGCTGCTCACCTCAGCATCCTGCCACTCTGGCCCCGTGGCAGGCCATGACCTGAGCCCACCAATGAGAATCCTTCCCTGGGATTTTCAACTGCCACTAAGGGAAGAGGACAGTTAATTCCGCAGAAAAGGAGAACTCTGTGTCTGAGGTCATGCCCCCAGGATGCTCAGGGAAGGACAGAACCAAGACATATTTGGGAGCAAAGATGAGAGACCTGGGGGGTCCAGAGCCCACAAACAGTTCCATCATCCTGGAGCCCAGCTTCTGTCTGCGTTTGTTTCCACGAGCCGGCTTCATGGTGATACCTGTGCGTTTGCACCAAGTCTTGACCTTAAAACGGTCAAGACAGCAGCTCTACTCTTGCTGTCTTAAGGTTCTTAATCATTTTTTTAACAAGGGACCCTGAATTTTCATTTTGCATTGGGCTCCACAGATAATGCAGCCGACCCTGCTATGAACCATTTACATTTATCTTTCGTGTCAATTTCTCACGAGTTAATCTAAAGAGTATGCACATATGTGCACGCGCTAATCTAAAGAGTATGCACATATGTGCACGCGCACACGAGGGTGGGGAGTGGGGTTACTCCCCCTCATGCTAAGCCCCCATCATAAACCTAGACATTCAGCCCCTTCTGCCAGGCCCTGGAAACCCCCAGCTCCATGCCTAGCACATGGCTCAGCCCCCTTTCTCAGCAGCAACACTTACACAGCATCTTGGTCACCTGTGTCCGACCCCGATCCTGGAGCCTGCGGCTGTCGCTTGTCCTGGCCCTGCCCTTGGCCTCCTGTCTGAGGATCAGCTGCCTCTCACGCCGCAGCCTCAGGCCGATGAGCAGGTAGAGCACGCTGATGGTGGCCATGGGCAGGCAGAAGAAGAGCAGTGCGGTGGCCTGCACCACCAGGTTGTAGATGGCTCTTGGGCGCACCAGGGTGCACACGGCCGAGCCGGGCACCAGGCCCCGGCAGGGCACATCTAGCTGCTGGATGCCGTGCAGGCTGGTGTTGGGCAGAGAGCAGAGCACCGCGAGGCCCCAGATGGCCGCGAGCACGCGGCGCACGTGGGCGTGAGTCACCACCGACCTGGCCCGCAGCGGGTGCACCACGGCCACGTAGCGCTCGACGCTCAGGGCGGTGACGTTGAGCACCGAGGCCAGGCAGACGGTCTCAAAGAGCAGCGTGCGGAAGTAGCAGCCGCCGGCACCCAACAAGAACGGGTAGTTGTTCTGCATCTCGTAGAGCTCCAAGGGCAGGCCCACAAGCAGCACCAGCAGGTCCGACACAGCCAGGCTGAAGAGGTAGTAGTTGGTGGGTGTGCGCATGGGCCTGTGGCGCAGGATGACCGTGCAGGTCAGCGCATTGCCCACCGTGCCCACCACGAAGATCAGCAGGTAGGTGACACAGATGGGCACGAACAGCTCCGTCTGCTGGGGCCCCAGGTACTTGAGCCTGAGCTCCTCATCCGTCAGGTTCAGGTCTTGGGGGTCAAAGGGTCCCAGAGCCCTGCTGCCATTGCAGGGCACCGGGCTCCTTGCACCCAGGGACCTGTCTCCAGGGAGGATGGAGCAGTTGAAACAGAGAGGAACCTGTGAAATGGAAGAGAGAGACACCCAGAAGGTCACTCAAGCAATCTGGCTCTATCCTAATTCCAGCTAAAAGTGCCATTGACACCAAGAGGGCCGTTATTTTTTGTGCCACAGAGAAAGGAAAACTCTGCCATCCATTGTAAGACCTATCACAATTTCTTCTTAAAAATGTACATCTTAGGGACTTCCCTGGTGATCCTATGGCTGACACTCTGTGCTTCCAATGCAGGGGGCCCAGGTTCCATCGCTACTCAGGGAACTAGATTATGTAGCAACAAAAATTCTGAGTGCTGCAACTAAGACTCAATGCAGCCAAATAAATAAAAATTTTTTAAGAAGTCCCCCCAAAATATACATCTTAAAAATGATTTTTTTTTAAGTGGGACTTCAATTTTTTAAAGATTTATTTTCTTTTGGCCATGCCGGGTCTTCATTGCTGTGCAATGGGCTTTCTGTTAGTTTCAGGGAGCGGGGGCCACTCTTCGTTGCGGTGCTCAGGCTTCTCATTGCAGTGGCTTCTCTTGTTGCCCAGCACAGACTCTGGGTGAGTGGGCTTCAGTAATTGTGTCTGGTAGACTCAGTAGTTGTGGTGCATGGGCTTAGTCGCTCTGCAGCATGTGGGAACCTCCCGGACCAGGGGTCAAACCTGGGTCCCTTGCATTGGCAAGTGGATTCTTAGCCACTGGACAACCATGGAAGCCCTGGGACTTCAATTTTTAATTGCACAAGCTACTGAAACCTTTGGTTAGTGATGGAAACTCTCAAGCATGCGCTATGCCATCAGCAGTCCCTTTCAGTCTCTCGCCTTCCAAGCCATGGACTTTGGGAGAGACACTCAGTTTGGGCACCTGTAAAATGGGCACAGTACAGAGTATCACTTGGTCCTGAAGAGCAAGGAAGGGTTCTGGAAACACCTGCTTGGATTCAAATCCAGCCTCACCAGTTTCAAACTGTGGGACCATCTGCACAGTAACCTCTCTGTGGCTGTTCCCTTATTACAAGGATCCAGAAATTTAATCCATGAAAGGTATTAACACACCGTTTGCCTGACACACAAAAGGGCCTGATTACATGACCTTGCTGGGAGAACTGGGTCACTAGGGATCAAGCAAGGGAGTGAAAGGGCCCAAAACTATAATGCTGATCCGAAAATTAGTGCTTGCTTCTGTTTTCTATTCCCTGAACTGTTTGAAGTTGAAGTATTTGACACCTTTGATGCTGCCAGTTCTGAGGTTCACTCTCCCTCCGGCTCCCCATCTCTTTGCCAGTCCACCCGAGAGAGTGGGGCTTCCCAGGTGGCGCTAGTGGTAAAGAACCCTCCTGCCACTGCAGGAGACATAAGAGATTCAGGTTCGATCCCTGGGTTGGGAAGATCCCCTGGAGAAGAAAATGGCAACCCAGTCCAGTATTCTTGCCTGGGAAGTCCCTTGGACAGAGGAACCTGGCAGGCTACAATCCATATGGTCTCACAGAGTCGTACACGACTGATGTGACATAGCATGCAGATAGAGTAGCTAAGGACCCTGGCTATGAAGCTAAACAGATTGGCCTGGGGTCAAGTGCCAGGTCCGCCATCCTCTTCTGTGACAGGCCCTCACTGTACCTCAGTCTCCTCATCTGTAAAATGGGTAAGTAGATACAGCCTACCTCCTAGCTAGTTTCTGGGAAGAGTAAATGAGAGAATTAAGTTCTCAGGAATGTGCCTGATAAATTTCAGGTGCTCAACTCCAATGCATAGTGACATGATCCTTACTTCTCACCCAGCAAATGAAGGACAGTCTAGGGTACATGGGGCAGGGGCTGAACGGAATTCCTCTGGTCCTGTGGCTTGATGTGAAAGACCAGGAGCTGCCCACCTGAGCCTGTTCCTCAAACCGGCCACCACCACCTCCTCTCCCTTCTGAGCAACCGCCGATTTTCCAGCTTGGTTTCTGGATCCTCTCCCTGGATCCTCACTCCAGCTCCATTTCCTCTCCTCAGATGCGGGTTCGGGGCTCCCCTTGCCCACGTACCTGTGTACCCACCGTTCAACTTTCTTTTTCAGGTCCTTCTCTCCCCTGGATCCCAAGTATTCTTCATCCCGAGTATCTTCTCACCAAAGCCTCCACCCAGAAGCCTCCCCCAGCCTTCCTGCCTCTCTGACACCGAATCCTCGCATTTGAGGATGGAGAGTCATCTTTATCCCCTCAAAAGTTCCTCCCGCCCCTGCCGCCCCCGCCCTCCCTACCCGGGTTGCTGTGAGAGCTAAGCCGGGACCGCGGCGATGAGTTGCGAACGCGCAGGCGCCGACCCGGGTTCGAGAGAGAGGCTCCTACGAACCCGGGGAAAGGTCGCCGCACCGGAGCCCCCATGCCTCGCGGCGCGCAAGGCCAGCGAAAAGACAGGTATATTTAAGGAGGCTGCGAGTCCTCCGGAGAGCGGGGTGGGGGCGGGACGCGTCTCAACTGGCCCTGCGATCCCTACCGCTCTGGGGCGACCCTGCGGGCGCGCCCTCCCCACCGCGCCCACATCCCGCACACCTACCATGCCGCCTGCGCCCCGCGAGATCCGAGGGGCCGGGAGCCCACGCGCCGAGCGCGGGCCTGGCGTCCTCACAATGATCGACGGACGGACGCGGCGCCAGAGCGGGCCGACTGGCCGTCTGGAGGCTGCCTGCCAGCTAGCAGCCCGCCGGTCGCCCCGCCCGTCGGGGGCCAGGGGTGCTCTGGCCCGGACAGCCAACAGGGGGCAGTGGCGTCCCCTCAGCCCAGCTCAGCCCCCCTCAACGACTGAACCCGGACACACTTATCTGGGGGCCCCCGGATCCCCCAAACCATAGCGATTGTCTTTCCAAGTGTTTGATGGGAGGCGCTTCCAGAACACCGGAACCCTCACAGCAACCCATTTTACAGATGAGCAAACTGAGCCTCTGAGAGATGCCACTGGAGTGATCAGGGTCTCACATCTCTGTCCCCATGTTCCAGCATGCTGACTCTTCGCATGACACCTTCTTATGGTGTCCCTCCAGATCCCACCTTCTCCAGCCCTGCCTTTCTTTTTTTTTCAACCCTGCCTTTCAAACCTACCCCCAAGGACATCCCACCAGCCCCTCCAAATCAACAAGCCCCAAAGGGTCTCATCTCAGGCTCCTAGGCTTCACGTGGGATTCCTCCCCTTCTGTCTATCTCAGTCCCTGGACAGCAGTCTCCACCCCCTCCGCCTTGACCCTCTCTGCCTTCGGGTCCTCCAGCTCCTAAGTCCAGGTCCTGGCTGTGCCCCCTCCCCCAGGACTGCTGTAGGAACCTCCACTGTCCCTCTAGTGTGGCCCCCCACAGCCCAGCCATTTTCCTGAACCCCCGACAATGGCATTCCACTCCCTGAAAACCTTCTATAGGGCCCAGCACTCCCTTCTGAATAAGAACACCGAAGTCTAGCCTGGTATTGGACCTCCCTACCCCCACTTGCCTTCCTGGTCCCCCTACCCTGGCGCACCAGCCCACACCCCCATCACCATATACTCCCACCCCAGATACCCCAACTAGCTCTCAGCCATTCAGATGTTCCGCCTGCTCCTCTCACCCTACCACAGGGTGTCCACGGGAGGGAGAGAACGTGGGAAGAGAGAGTGGGAAGAGCTGTGGATCCCGGGGTCTCCTCCTGCTCCTTCAAACTGAGCACTGGTAAAACCAGCCAGGAGCACCTTCTGGGCTCAGCCCCCCTCCTCCAGCCAGCTCCTTAGCTGAAGGAACTCGCTCGGGAGTTTTGCAACATGGATCTCACAGGCGGAAATGCTGGCTCCTGGGCCTCTTCCCAGGGTCTGATTTCCTTAGTTTGGGCGAGATCCAGAAATCCTCAGATTTGACCCAGAGGAACCCCGGCCCCAGAACCACAGTGTGAGAAGCACCGGGAAGGGTTAAGCACAAAGCCCCAGGCCCCAGGAAGGCTGTGAGCTGTGTGAGGGGAAGAGACACAGACCCTCTGTACCATCCTTGCCACACTTGTGTGCCCGACGTGAGACATGATGATGAAGATTTTGCACGGGGCTGGCACACAGCCAGCACTCAAGAATGTCGGTGGGATTTGAGTGGGATTATCTCTACTTAATGACAACTGGAGGCAAGACGTTCTACCCTTAGACTCTCTCTGCCCCCACCTCCTCCCCATGAGTCACCATCTGGCCTTGGATACTGGGAGTTAGACCCTGTCCCCTAGGCTGTCTTCCCAGGAACTCCACACGTAAACACAGCCCCAGGCTCAGGGAGATTGCGGGCAGCAAAGAGACACAGGGTCCCCATGTCCCCCAGAGAAAGGATTCTGGCGTATCCCTGACAGTTAGCTACTCAGGCTCAGATGTGTGAGCCTGGCTGGTGCCTTCATGATCGGGGCTGCGGTCACATCAGATGAGCAATGAGGGGCGGAGGGCATCACTAGGAACAACCCACCATGGGGTCACAGACAGCATTTAGCATGCGATGAGCTTTGTCGACCCCTACCCCCTTACTGGAACACACTCGCACACACAACTACCACCACTTCACTCAGACTCTGAGCAGCCTGAAACCCACTGTGGACCCCCTGGAGGTGCTCAGAGCCCAGAAGAGGATGGGGAAGGACCTTATCTCTGCCTTGTGTGCGTGCATGCTAAGTCACTCGGTCATGTCTGACTCTGTGCAACCCCATGGACTATGTAGCCTGCCAGGCTCCTCTGTCCATGGGATTCTTCAGGAAAGAATACTGGAGTGGGTTGCCACACCCTCCTCCAGGGGATCTTCCCCATCTGGGAATTGAACACGCATCTCTTACATCTACCTGCATTGGCAGGTGGGTTCTTTACCACTGGTGCCACCTGGGAAGCCCTGTTTCTGCCTTAGAGAGGCAGAATGGCTCCAACCCATTAGGAATTCCTACAACTGTCTGCGTCATTCATAGCCTTGTTGTTGTTCAGTCGCTGAGTCATGTTTGACTCTTTGCCACCCCATGAACTGCAGCACGCCAGGCTCCTCTGTCCTCCACTATCTCCTGGAGTTTGCTCAAATTCGTGTCCATTGAGTCAGTGATGCTATCTAACCATCTCATCTTTTGCTGCCCCACCATTCACAGCATTAGCAGCCATCAAAGACCACATGAGGCTAAAAGGTTGCCCTCCAAAAGGAGAGACCCAGTGGCCACCATGGCTGTAACATTGTCCAGAGGGCCCTGGGTGTTGCAGCCTCTGGGCCGGAGCTCGAGACCTCCATGACAGCGTGTCCCATCAGAACCCCCTGACATCCACTGCCTCCTACCCCGTCCTGAGATGGCTTCCCCAGGGCCTTGTCTTTTTGGGACTGCTGCGGGGCTGAGGCCTGGCCTAAATGGATGCCAGGTTTTCTGGGTGTGTATCTAGGTCTCAGGAGCTTGGATGGTAGACATCTACCAAGGCTTGGGTGCTAAGAGCCCAACTCCACACAACAGCAGTTCTGCCAGAGGAGTGCCACTGGGACCTCCAGGAGCTGGTGGGCCCCCCTCCCAGGTTCTGACCCATCCAAGGGCTAACTGGGCCTGAGGCCCAGAAACCCCCACCTCCACCCTCCTTTACTGCCCCCCGGGGATGAGACAAGGAGGGTGAGGTGAGCCTGGGGACCCTGAGGTCCTGGACCGGACGGAGGGGCCATTCTGAAGCCCAGCCAGTGAGGACAGCCCAGGAGCCACCAGTAATCAAGCTCAGTAAACATGGAGAGCTGGGAAGAGCAAATGTCGCAGCAGGACAGTCCAGCCTCAGCTGGGTATCTCCTCAGGTTAGAGCCTTTTCCATCTGGTTTGCTCAGCTGGGCCTGAGTAGGCCATGGCCGGGAGAGAGGAGAGGTCTGGGCCCCATGATGGAGTCTGGGATGCATCTCAGGAGGCCGTGTGGGTCGAGTGGTCACCCACACTCTGTACACTGCCAGGCCTGACTCCTCTCACAGAAACTGGTTCACTCTCATGAAACGAGAGGGTAAAAGAAGGCCGGGGACAGTGGGGCCTGGAAGAATGTCCCACCTAACCCCCCACCCCGTCCACCTGGGCTCTCTGCCAGAGGTGTTGTTTAGTCGCTTAGTCGTGTCCCACTCTTTTGCGACCCCATGGACCATAGCCCACCAGGCTCCTCTGGCCATGGGATGCTCCAGGCAAGAATACTGGAGTGGGTTGCCCTGCTCTTCTCCAAGGGGTCTTCCCTACCCAGGAATTGAACCTAGGTCTCCCACACTGCAGGCAGGTTCTTTACCCTCTGAGCCACCAGGGAAGCCCATTAAGCTCAATTACATGGGTTAAAACACTTAGGACTGAGCCACTCAAGAAATGGTGTTCATAACTCTGCTCAGAATTCTCTGGGAGATGCTGCAAAACTGCCAGGGGTCAGGGCTGGGGGTGCATCATTCTGCCGGTTGGGAGGGACAGGTCCCCAGACAGCTGTGGCCGGAGAGCTGGCCCCAGCGGGAGGGAAGGAGAAGACGAAACTGGGGGGAGCATGACCACAGCTCAAGCAGGCTGGGCCCTGCAGCTGGACCTCGGAGACCTCTCCTGCCCATGGGAGAGGCCCGCTTGAGGCCGTCTGGCCTTTGCCACCCAAAGGCCATGCAGATGGTTTCTGAGCTACCCCAGTCTGTCAGGTCCCCAAAGAACTGAAACCCAGAGGGTCACCCACCTCCTCCCCCAGTGCGTGTCCAGTGCCCCAAGCCTCAACCTCCACCGGTGGCCACAGTCGCACATCGAGAGGACCAGAAAAAAGCCTGGACCTCTCTCATCCTGAGCCTGTGTGTCCCTCATGCCTCCTCAGGGTGCATGTGTGCATGCGTGCCACACACCTTCCTAGCTAACACTCCACGTTCAGAGGCAGTAAACAGACCACTCCTAAGATTGTCCCTTTTAGGACTGCCCACGGTTAGTTCAGAACCAAAGCCCTGCCAGTGGATGAAGTCAGACTTGGGAATTCACGAGTTCACCATGGTTTATTGTGTCTACGTTAGAGTTTTTGCTTTTCCTTTTAGGATTTATTTATTTATGTATGGCCGTGCTGGGTCCTCGTTGCTGTGCAGGCTTTCTCTAGTTGTGGCCGGCGGAGGCTCCTCTGTGGCGGAGCACAGGCTGCTCATTGCAGTGGCTTCTGTTGTTGCAGAGTTAGGGCCCTGGAGTGCTCAAGTTTCAGTAGCTGCGACTCTCAGGCTCTGCTGCTGCTAAGTCGCTTCAGTCATGTCCGACTCTGCGACCCCATAGACGGCAGCCCACCAGGCTCCGCCGTCCCTGGGATTCTCCAGGCAAGAACACTGGAGTGGGTTGCCATTTCCTTCTCCGTCAGGCTCTGCAGAATGTGGGAACTTTCCGGACCAGGGATCAAACCATTGTCCCCTCCATTGGCAAGTCGAGTCTTAACCACTGGACCACCAGGGAAGTCTCTCCCTTTTAGCTTTTAATATTGGCACAATTTCACACTTACAGACAAGTTGAAAGAATAGAATCAAGAATTCCTATACATCCTCCACGCTGATTCACCAATGGTTAAAATTTTACATCTCTTGAATCCTTTTCTCTGT